ATTTCCATTAATTTCTCTTATTGCTCTTCAAAATCTTCCATCCTACCCCAATTCCTCCTTATCCTCATGAATTGGCCTTTGGGTATTGCTTTCAACCATTTAGGATGGTGACAACTTTTTAGAGATATACCCATTTCGATCAGTTGTTTTGAAATGTATTCTGGTATCTAGGCTTTTACCATTTTTGAAGTTTTCCAGATCAAGGAACTGGGTAACCTCCCTTCGGATATTACTCGTGAATTTGATGCCATATGTATTGTTATCCATAGAGCATAAGAAACTCTCCAGTTCCTGTATTCCCCCTCCCAGATGATAAACACATCATCGATGTATCTCTTGTACATTGCTAATTGGGGTATGCCTCGATGGAAGATATCCTCTTCCTCCTATTTATTGAGGAAGATATTGGCTACGCTCAGGGCATACCTAGCTGCCATAGCCACTTCCTTAATCTGGTTAAAGAATTCTCCATTATACCAGAAGTAATTGTTGGCCTTAGCCATCTCCAATGCCTCTATCTAGTATGAACTCTTCCTGAGTGAATGCTAGGTTGGAATATTTATGGAGTGCCCTCTTAGTGGAATCAAGTGCATTCGGTTGTTTAATATTTGTGTACAGGGATTCCACATCCACTGTGACCAGCAGGGCTTATTCCATTATATTGATGCCCCTTAATAGGTTAATAAGATCCCTGCTGTCTTTGAGGTATGCCTTACCTCTCATAGCCATGGAAGGGAAAAAAAAAAAATATCGATGTATTCTCCTATTCTGGAGTAAAGTGAATTGATACCACTAATTATAGGTCTACCTGGAGGATTAGTAGAATTTTTGTGTATTTTTGGGACCTGGTATATGACTGGCATTCTAGAGGCTTTAGGTAATAAGTATTTGGCCTCTTTTTTATTACGCATCCTAGGTTTGTTTCCTTTCTTAACTAGTTTTGTTAATTTGCCCTTGAGCTTGCTGGCAGGGTCTCCTTTTAAAGTCTTATACATGTTGGTGTCCTGTATTAACCTCTGCATTTCTTTCTCATACTGGTCTTTAGGTAAAATTACTACCCCCCGTCCCCCTTATCAGCGGGTCTAATTACTATGCTTTTATTACTTTCTAATGATTTAAGTGCCTCCCATATATTCCTGTAATGAGTTTTAACTTTATTGCATTTAATATTGGAAATATCTTTCTGGACCATTTTTTTTTTTAAACACTTCTATATATTGGTAAGTGGAAGTTTTAGGGTTAAATACGGATTTGTTTTTGAGACCCGTATGCATATACTCATCACAGCTGTTTTGTTCTCCCTTGTGGAGATTTTCTAAAAAAATTTTTAATGTTGAGCTTTCTAACAAATTTTTCAACATCAATAAAAGCCTCAAATTTGTCAAAATGTTTACTTGGAGCAAAACTTTAATCCTTCAGTAGAGCCAATTCCTCATGGGTGAAACTAATATTGGTGAGATTGAAAATACCCGATTCTAGGTTTCTCTTTTCTTTTCTCCCCCCTCTACATCCCCTCCTGCTTTTTTGGCCTGGAGTTTGTTGGACATAATGGTGGTGATAAGTGGGCTGGGGTTGTGGATGATAGCCCCCCCTTTGGGTATAACACTGTTGTGGGATGCAATGGGGTTCTTTCCATCCACTGCCATAACCCTATGGTTGTTGTGAATGATATTGGTCCCAGTTTCTTCCTCTATTGGTGCCCTTTCCTCTCCCCCTATACAGCCTGGAGGGTTGGGGGCTCCTATACTGGGGATATAAAAGCAAAATATTCCTGGGGAAGAATCCCTCAATAGCTCAAATCTGTTGTAAGTGGGGATATAAAATCTAGATATGTGGGGGTTCTAGGCATTCACCCCCCCTTGATTGGAATTAGTTGTTCCTTTTGAGGGATCCTTCCTATTATCCTGTGGCTTCATATTTTGCATGGGGGTGCCCTTTGCGGTATTTCCCTGCATGGATTTCTGCGATTCTTCCTTAGAATCTGCTGGTGGCAAGGGTTCAAACTCCTGCCATCTATAAATGTTATTCTCTTTGTAATCCATGGTGTCTCTACGGTATTTGTTTATCTTTTTGTTTTTGTCTTCAAGATCCTGTTTCTCAAGGTGTTGTAACCTGTCAATTTTGTTTTTGTATTCAGAATTAGCAATGAACGGCTGCATTTTGTTTTTCAGCGTGTTTAGCTGTGAATCTAATTGGCTCAATTTAACCTTCCTTCTATGAATAATCATAGTCATCAGCTTTATTTCACACTGCCTGAAGAACTGCAACCATTCCGTGGATAAATTTTGACCATAATAGTTTCACAGATGGAAACCCATAGACTACAGACATTGGACCCAAAGGGATTAAATTGAGATATAGACCTCAATTGCTTCCTCACTGATTATTAATGGTATTCTCTCCTACATCGGGGAGGAACTGGAGAGTTCCTGACGATAAAGAGAAGTTTGTAGTTAAGTATTGACCCCTCTGAGGGTCAAAATTAATGTTTATGGATATTTATATGATCTAACCCTGCATCTCTATGATTAAGATTAAGAACAGATTAGCTATTCCATTTTTTCAAAAAGAGTTTAGCATCTCACTCCTGAGACAGCCCCACACACCAGATCCATTTTGCACTTTTATTTGCGGAAATGGTAGAAATATTTATAGTACATTATGCAGCTGGGGCTGGGCTACTCTCATATCTCAGTTACACCCCTCTAGCATTTGCGTGTTTTACTATTAGGTATAGGAGTACTTCAGTTTGACATTGTCCTATACATATAAAAAAAAAATTATATTATATACACATGGCATGTGAAGAGATTCTTTACATATCATGCATCCCATGTTTTATGTAATAATAGGTCTGGGATAGAGATATATAACACATTGTTTTACATTTTTAATTCTAATATGTAATTTTTAGTATAGTTACCCATCCATTAATTTCTTATCTAATTAATACCTTTTTAAGCATATAAATTAACTCTTTGTTTTATGACCTTTTCATTTACAATTTCAGTTTTAATATTTCTAATTCATATTCAATTGAGTCCCCTTTCTGTTTAATAATTGGAGGCAATTTCACTCTCCAATTTAATTTGGTTTTGCAACATTCTTTTCAGTTTTTTTTATTTTTTAAATATATTGTTTTGTTATACTATATTCACATTGTGTTTATTACAATATAAATGTGCCTAAGTTTTAGATTTTGTGTTAGATAGTGCCATTATCTTCATTTACCAAAGATATGTCCAGAAGGTTCCCATTATTGTAACATCGTGACAGTATGTATAGCCCGTATAACACACAATTAGCAGCCACATATGTCGGCCATGCTGTTGGAGCCACCCAATAGGGTCACCTGGTATCCTTTGGGAGTTGTCCAATCAGTATAGCTTTGTGTCTATATCAATTGCTTGGTAATGGCAGTGTGTCACTTCCTGAAGATGCTGCAGGCGAAACGTATGTAGAAGCGTAATCCCGTCACTTCCGGGTTCCCCTGACGTCAAATCCGGCCCAGCGAAAGCAAGGCTTGGAACGCACAACGACCATATCTTCAGATCCTATAGGCTATACAAATTGGTGCTGGTTTTTAGGGCACCCATACATGTGAGTTGATAGTTATATGTTCTTTTTATGCAAATTGTAATAAATACTACACTCAGAATTCTCGATTCATCTGGTTTATTTGAGCTGTGTGGAGCACTGCCTTCACGGCAAGGAGAGCCTGGTGCATGGAACCCTGTCGCTATTGCTTCATTTAGGAGTCATACGAATGTTCTATTGGGGCAACACATAGGATGTGCTGACAATCGGGACGGATATCTCAGGAGAGCCCACCATTGATCATCCATTCCATTATAACAAAAGGGCTGCATGACCACCGTAATTGGGGTCAATCACCTTTGGTGAGTGTGAAATTTACTTATTTTGTCTGCACGTGCTGAAAGTGTATAACTTCGTGGTTCACAGCAATGGATTGTTATGGGACTGTCACTATATAATATATGATTGTTTTATTATCATTTATATAAATGGTGGATGCATGCTACTAACTGGAAGTCATGGTAACCATGGATTATCACATTTGATTTATTGCTGGTGTCTGCCATAAGATGTAGAAAGATGGTTTATTTTTGTATTTGCATTTATTATGTATTATATACATAATAATTATATATACTATATATTGCATTGTATTTGTATTTTGCTTGTGAGGTTGGTTCAGCGCCTACCTATTTATTGTGTTTATAAGTGTACAGCACATCCCTTCCCCCAGAAATGTAATTTCCTACTTGTGTAATTGGCTTACCGATTTTCCCAGAAGTCTGCACTAAGATACAAATCAGATTTTGAGCACCCCTTGCAACAAAAGTGTCATTATTGGTGAGCTACTCCCAAAGGGAAATCACGTCTAAAGGGATGCAGACCCTGACACTTTCCTCAGAGCCCTGCAGGTGCAGCAGCTGACTGAAAATTATAAAACCAATCCCATATAGATTCAGCTTGCACATGGACACAGACAAAGAAAATTACAGTGCTGAAGATTGAAAAGGAAAGGTCATTTTTAATAACTTTCAATTACAATTTGACTTGAGTCGCAATTGTATATGCTAGGTTATTTATTTTATTTGCCAATTTGTTTTCCCATGAAAATGGAGTTGCCCTTTAAAGCTCTAATCAAGATGACAGGCAATTGAGCAAATCCACATGCTTCTATAAAAATAACTTATTTACATTTATAAGTTTTCTGTACATCTATATATCTCCAGTGGCTACTCCAGTTATACCCCCAATGAATTATAAGTGTGAACTAACCTAGTCCAATAAAGTAGGAGACAGGGAAAGAAAGGTTCAGCTATATGAACTAATATGCAAGAATGGGACTGCTTACAGACAGACAATGCACATGCAATACGTTGTATTTCTAATATTCGTTTACTTATTTACTAGATTAAAAAGAACAAAAACATTCCTTCGATCGGTGCCCTGAAAGAAAAAGCTATTACCTTTGTTGGAAGCGTGTATTTCCCATCAGGAAAAGGAAAGCTCTGTACATCTCTACACATGTTGCATATGAAGGCCATTTTGTTGCATAGTGGTTTAATGTTACTAACTCGAACCACTGTCCCACGCAATGCCACATATTTGCCATACAAATTAGCTCTGAGGTTTTTCAGAGGGGTTAGTGGATCATAATTGTACACCCTGGGGGAAAAATAAAGACCGAAAAAAGTCATGAAGTCATGGTGTACACCAACTACAGACAGTACACTGTAAATATAAAGAGACAGATAATTACCTAGCATGTATGTATGGTACATCAACTATGGGGGTCTCTTCCAGCGGAAGACCTTCCTGCTCCTGTAACTCTACTGCATGTTTCTCCAAGTCTTTGGTTAGCACCTGCAGACACAACAGTGCATTTTTGGGTTGTATAAATGAATGCTCAGGGTCCTATTTGTCAAACTTAATGGGAGAGGAACCATTAGCTGTCCATAACTCTGCCCCAAACTACATCACTGACCTAATATCCAAATACCACCCAAAACGCACTCTCCGCTCCTCACAAGACCTCCTTCTCTCTAGTTCCCTGGTCTCCTCCTCCCATGCCCGCCTCCAGGACTTCTCCAGGGCATCACCCATCCTCTGGAACTCCCTACCCGAATTCATCAGACTATAACCTACTCTCCTCTCCTTTGGGCGCACCATGAAAACCCACCTCTTCAGGGAAGCCTACCCTGCCCTCTGCTAATTGACGATCTCCTCCACTCTTCCTACCACTCCATCCCCCACAGCTTTTCCTCCTGTACCACTATCCCTACCCTCCTAGATTGTAAGCTCCAAGGAGCAGGGCCCTTGAACCCCTCGTGTATCGCATTGTATTGTTATTGTGCCCTCTCATGTATAGTCTCCCATTGTATTGTACAGCGCTGAGTGAACTGTTGGCGCTATATAAATACTGTATAATAATAATAGTACTGCCTAGTGAAAGCAGACAGTCCATACTATGTAGGAAGAACAGCAGTCATTTTAAAACACACCAAACACGCTACAATCTGATTGTACTATATGCTTTGGATCTATCAACTACCGTGTTTCCCCGAAAATAAGACATCCTCCGAAAATAAGACCTACTTACAGGTTTCCTTCTGGGTGAAATATAAGGCATCCCCCTGAAAATAAGGCCCCCCTAGGCTCTGTCTCGTAATGAAAATTTATTTACCGTAAACTGGTTGCTAGGGCCGCCCCGACTGGCGTCTAGAAACCAGTGACGTCACTGCTGTGTGAAGGCGGAGCGGAGGTCGGAGTAGGCGGGAGAGAGATGCGTGTAGAAGAACAGGAGGATCAGAGCGGATGGGACGCGGCGAAGGTGGTGAGTGCTGGTCTGTCTCTGGTGACAACGCCTTCATGATGACTGAAGGTTCTCAGTCAGTGGCAGACCCTGCTGCAGCCCAGGTCCAGGCCCCAGCCAGCTTAGTGACAGTCCCCAGGCAGGCCCCAGGGGGGAAATGTCTGATAAAGGGGTGGGGGGGATGTCTGGTGAAGGTGTTCAGTGGCACAGGGGTGGGGGGAGGGGAATCACTTAAAATGACACAGGAGGATCAGAGGGGGCAATCAAAATGACACAGGAGGATCAGAGGGGACAATCAAAATGACACAGGAGGATCAGAGGGGGCAATCAAAATGACACAGGAGGACCATTTGACAATAAATGTGTACCATATTCTTCTTCATGGAAAAATAAGACATCCCCTGAAAATAAGACCTAGCGCATCTTTGGGAGCAAAAATTAATATAAGACACTGTCTTATTTTCGGGGAAACAGGGTATGTAGTGCAGGGGCCTGTCAGGTTGGATTCAGATTCATTAGTTTATGTAGGTCCTCATATTACCAGTTTTGGTAAATCTAAAGGAGCCTGCATATAGATAGAACCGTAGGATTGTAACGTGTGGTGAATTTTATATAGACAGTTCCTGTGTCATACACTTTGGTAAATGAGGGCAAGTCCACGACAGGAATTCAGATATAAAGCCTGATGCTAAACCAATAATATAATGGGGTTGATTTACTAAAACTGCAGAGTTTAAAATCTGGTGCAGTTCTGCATATAAACCAATCAGCTTCCAGGTTTTTTTTGTCAAAGCTTAATTGGACAAGCTGAAGTTAGAAGCTGATTGGTTACCATGCAGAGCTACACCAGATTTTGAACTCTCCAGTTTTAGTAAATTAAGCCCAGTGTGTCCTGGATAATTCTATGTTTCCATGAACATGATATCTCCAATATTCTGCTGCCTGCTTGTGCAACTCTCATGACCACAACTGTAATCTTACAGCAATTATAGCTCCCACAGAGCACCACATCTTTAAGAACTCTCTGGTCCTCACACCTTGTGTCTCCAACAACTCTTTGGCCCTTACACCTTCCCCCCATCTCTTCCGCTCTCACACCTTGCCCCCAAGCAACTCTATGGTACTCACATCTTATCCCTCCAGCAAATCTTTAACCCTCATTCCCTGCCCATTACAGCAACTCTATACCTGCATTCCTTGCCCCTCCAGCAATTCTTTGGCTCTTACACCCTGTCCCTCCAGCAACTCTTTGACTCTTATTCTTTGCCCATTGCAGCAACTTTTTGGCCCCCATCCTCTGCCCAGAACAGCAACTCTTTGGCCCTCATCCTCTGCCCAGAACAGCAACTCTTTGGCCCTCATCCTCTGCCCATAACAGCAACTCTTTGGCCCTCATTTCTTGCCCCTGCAGCAATTCTTTGACCCTTACACCTTGTTCCTTCAGCAACTCTTTGACCCTTATCATTCTTTGCCAACTACAGCAACTCATTCCTTACCCCTTCAGCAACTCTTTGGCTCTCACACCTTGTCCCTCCAGTAACTCTTTGGTCCTCATCCCATACCCATTACAGCAACTCTTTGGTCCTCATTCCTTGACCTTTAAAGCAACTGTTCACTCTTATTCCTTGTTCCTCCAGCAACTCTTTGTCCCTCACTCCTTTGCCCTCCAGCAACTCTTTGACCCTCATTTCTTTGCCCACAAAAGCTCTTTGACCCTCATTCCTTTGCCCCCTAGCATTTCTTTGGCCCTCACATCTTGCCCCTCCAACAACCTTTTGTTCCTCACATCTTACCCCTCCAACAATCCTTCGCCACTTGAACCCCACCCATCAACAACACTTAACCAGGTACATTGTCCCTCCATCAACGCTCACACTTATTCCCTCTAATGATTCTTCGGTTATCACACTCTTTTCAATTCCTTAATGCTCACACTTTGTCCCTCCAAAATAACCACAAATAAGAACACCAAATAGTGAAGTATTGCGAGAACAATTACTGCTAAAATGGTCAACAGCCATTGTTTTGTTTTACTTGCAGGCAAGACAGGAGACATTTACTATCCTACAATGAAATTATATTAAAAAAAATACGAATATATTAAATAGATAACATGATTTTGATGCACACAGTGTAAATTTCACAATTTGGAACATTTTCACAATGCTGGAACATTCAATAATTACAACACCAGTTTCAAGACAAATGAAAACTACTTGAGAATTAGAATCACAACTCTGTTGACAGTGTAATAGGATTAAAAAATGATCAAACATGTACTAAGAAGTCTGCAAATTAAGTAGCTCAGTAGGTTTCTAAAACGTTAAAGCAAGCTCTCATGGATGGAGAGCATTATGTCTGAGCATTTGGAATGCCAGCTGTGGCCTACCCACTGGTCACTACACTGTAAGGGGATTTTCACACACACCTGGTGTATTGCAAGCCCCATACAATCCAGTATTTTTTCAGGCATCTCTTTCAGCTCAGTGGACAATGGAACAGATGTTGTAAGTGCCTCATCTTCCAGAAGCTCCTTGAAATCCACAAGAATGCTTCCCTTTCTTTCAATTTCATCCTGCAAAAAACAATATAGCCTTTTTATGACTTTTTTCCAAAGCAATAGACTAATACGCTATATAGCTAAAGTTTTTGGACACCTCACTATCAAAGCTACAGTATAAACCTACAGTATATGGCCACAATAGTACATTTAAAGTGGTAGTAAACCTCAGGCATGAAATATGAGCAAAGCATATCCCTCTAAAGTGTGTACTTGTCCCTATCCAGAGCACTAATTTACATTTCTGTCTGCTATTTTTTCCTAACACCAAGAGAATAAAGGTGATAGGAGATTGATATCCAGCACACAGCCTGTGACTGACAGCATCAGCTCTGTGCCTGTATGCTGTGCGAAGAGGGACCCCTTCCCTCCAACCAGCTCTCAGAGGTCTCCTCACTGAGCTCCACAGAGTGTAATTTCAGCTCTCTGCCCCCTTTTTTCTAACGGCTCAGATAAGCTGTATAAATTCGGGACTTTGAACAAATGTGGAGAAGAGAATACTGCAAATAAACAGGTACAACTTCTGTTGGAGGATTTGTTTCATGTCTCTGTATCACCTGAGGCCAGTCACTTTATTGGAAATATGAAAGGGTTCATAACCAGTTTAATGTTACAGCACACAAACATGTTATAGACAATTGTGTGACTCCAGTCTTGTGGTAACAGTTTGGGGAAGGCCCTTTCCTATTCCAGAATGACTGCCAGCTCCAAAAGACATGGTCTGATGAAGGTAAAGTAGGGATGAGCTCAGGTGCTTGCAGACACAAATCCGCTGGCAAGCTTTTATAGCAGACAGCAAATCATAGACGGTGGAGGCAATAATCACCCCGCAGCTGCACATATTGTATGCAAGGGGCATGTATACATGCGCTTCCAGGCTGGGAATGCCTCTGCCACCTACGATTGGCTGTCCTCTTTCAGAGCTTCCCAGGGGGATCGTTCAGGTGAATTTGGACTCGTGTTCAAAGCTGCCTGAGCCCAACCCTACTCCACACTCTTCAGACCATGGCTTTATAGAGGTATCCCTGGTGTGGAGGAAATCGAGAGGCCTGTACAAAGCCATGACCTCAACCCTCCTGAATAACTTTGGAATGAATCTCTACAATTGCCAACTTACTTGAATCTATCTACCTCTCAATATGAGGATATAAGAGTCTTGAAGAGAAAAAAAA